AAGGGTGTGGTCTTTTTTTTTTTTTTTTTTTTTTACAAAAAGACAAGTAAAATACGTAACACAATATCCCACAATGCAAACGTGAAACATGCCATGCAAATTGAAAAGTTCTTGGGGGAAATACGTGACCACTGTTTCTGAATATTATATGCTTAATAATATTTCTGTTTTGAATATATCAGTAGGTTAGCTTGAGCATATTTGAGCTAAGATGGCTGAATATGACAATAACACAATGCATAAATACATATGTGAGATGATGTATGGTTACTCTTTGAATAAAGGGTACCCTTTTGTAGGTTCTACAAAGAACCCTTTATTCTAACACTAATCTGAATAATCTAAATGTAACATCAAAAACTTCTATACAACTTAAAATGTTTTTTATTAAAGGACAAATCTTTGCTGAACCTAAATAATTTTAAAGAACCAATAAACAACCTATACATATTTTTAAGAATGTTAATTCCATTTAATATTACAGTAATAGTTTTATAACTACCATAATTTTTAATGTAATAAAATATATTAACGCTAGTGTGCAGCATATTCAGTCTAAAGGCCTAATATGTTTTGCTTTCATATGCAAACTAACATCAAAATATTTTCATGACTCGGTGAGAGCTGGCGTAGCCTATACTGTAAGCTATATTAGCTCACCATAAAACGAATGTACTTAATATCTGTGTCCCTCTGGAACCAAATGCTAGAATTACAATGTCCATATGAAAAAGTACGCTGGAGTCACGTTACACTCCAAAATAACTCGTCAGATACACGACACCAGAGACTTCTCGTCACAAACATCAATCCAGCAAACCTCTGGTGCCCGCCATCCATCACTAATAAAACGATTCATTTGAAGCGAGATTTCATTTATTTTCCCACCCTTACTTTATGTTTCTCACATTTAACTTGTTTTAGATTTGCATTTTGCACAAATATTTTGATGATTTTTTATTAGTCTAGAAAATGACGTAAACTCACGTGTCGCCTATACATTTCCATGCAAACAAGTGATGGTGAAATGAAACTACAGTAATCAAAAGGACATTTGCAGGCAGTAGTTTCCCCCACAAAACTTTTTGTTAATAATAACAAAAACATTTCGCTGTGTAGCTATTGGTTTCCCCCTTTATTTTAAGATTATAATACAGCAGTGTCTGTTTTTGGAGTGTGTTGCGCGCACTCCTTCCCCCGAGGTGCATGACATCCAAGTGCCACTCTATCTCCAAGAGGCAGGGTCAGTTTCTGCGACACAGCTTCTCTCCACACTTGCCCGTATGACTCCCCAGGAGGATGCGCTAGTCGTCCTTACACACTAGGCACTCTGTAAGAGATATGATAACCAGAGGGCGGGCTGATAGCTAAGGACAGTCTAGGAAATAATCTATTGCGCGCGACGAGAGCGCGTAAGAATGAAATGATTAGCGCGTCATGATATTGCAACTAAGTGATTGAGTAATGCAAGACACTGACTCAAACTGTTAGCTTTGCTTTTGTTTTTTTGCTTTGGACTGATTTTAAACCATCTTTTCACGGAAACTGTACATCAAGAACTGAAATTCTTCAGTTGGGGGAGCCTCGTTGCTTGAGTTTCCAAAGTGAATATTGCCTTAAAAACCAACGTTAAGATACGTGCGGGACACCAGGTATCCTATTGCCTTGAACTATGTCTATGCCACCAACTTTTGGATTTACCCAAGAGCAGGTTGCCTGCGTCTGCGAGGTCCTTCAGCAAGGTGGGAGTATCGAACGTCTCGGACGCTTTCTGTGGTCCTTACCTGCTTGTGAGCACCTCCACAAAAACGAGAGCGTATTGAAAGCGAAAGCCGTGGTAGCTTTTCACCGGGGTAACTTCAGGGAGCTCTATAAAGTATTAGAGAGCCACCAGTTTTCTCCGAACAACCACCCTAAACTGCAACAGCTCTGGCTGAAAGCTCACTATATCGAAGCGGAGAAATTACGCGGTCGTCCTCTGGGCGCAGTGGGAAAATACCGCGTGCGCAGAAAGTTTCCGCTGCCTCGCACCATCTGGGATGGAGAGGAGACCAGCTACTGTTTTAGGGAGAAGAGCCGGTGTGTGCTTAAAGAGTGGTACACTCACAACCCGTACCCTTCTCCGAGAGAGAAGAGAGAACTGGCCGAGGCCACTGGCCTCACCACGACGCAGGTCAGCAACTGGTTCAAGAACAGGAGGCAGAGGGACCGTGCAGCAGAAGCAAAGGAAAGGTAGGAAGAACACCATTACTATCAAGACGCTAAACAAGCGAGCTTTCTGTACAATAGCGGAGGAATGCTCACCAAAATGACTGTAGCCATCTAAAATAAAAATAAATGCTATATAAAAATATTTGCATTAGTTAGTGTACTTGTGGGTAGAATAAAGACATTAATAAAGACATAAAGTATAATCTTAATTAGGCCTATTATAGAATAATCTAAATGTCAAAGATTTAAAAACAATTGGACTTTAAGAAAAAAAAAAAAATATATATATATATATATGCAGCAGCACATTTAATAAATGGGTTTAATTTCATGACAGCTTTTTAACCCAACAGTTGGGTTAGTCCATATTTGACCCAACATTGGGTTGAAACAACCCAGCATTTTTTTAGAGTGCATCAGTGGCATGGCAATTTGATGCAGGAGACTTTGCCACCTGCCTTTTTAATTAATGAGTGAATCTAAAGTCACAGAAATGTAATAAAAAAAAAATATATATATTTTTTTAAATAATCTCATCTCGCTTAAACTGATCGGGGCTGAAGAAGGGTTTTTACCTAAGATATGATTAACGTACACTCTTAAAAATAAAGGTGCTTCAAAAGGTTCTTCAAGCGATGCCATAGAAGAACCATTTTTGGTTCCACAAAGAACCATTCAGTCAAATGTTCTTTAAAGAACCATCTCTTTCTTACCTTTTTATAATCTGAAGAACCTTCTTTCGCCACAAATAACCTTTTGTGAAACAGAAAGGTTCTTCAGATGTTAAAGGTTCTTTATGGAACCATTTAGACAAAAAGGTTCTTCTATGGCATTATGAAGCACCTTTATTTTTAAGAGTGTATGATTGTTCTAACGGTATAAAATAGAGTTCATAAATATAAAAAATAATTTAGCCTATAAGTATAGCTTTTTCTTCAAACTTAAAAAAGGCCTGAAATGTCCTCCTAATGGAGAAAAATAAAAGTATCATATTTCCTATGCCACATTTAGTCATGCGCGGTCCAGGTGTTTGTATGTCCATAGAGTTCATAAATATAAAAAATAATTTAGCCTATAAGTATAGCTTTTTCTTCAAACTTAAAAAAAGGCCTGAAATGTCCTCCTAATGGAGAAAAATAAAAGTATCATATTTACTATGCCACATTTAGTCATGCGCGGTCCAGGTGTTTGTATGTCCGTCAGTAAGCGATGCTTGCTGTTTTTGCTGGCCCGCTAATGAATTTGAATGATCTGCTCCAACAGGGAAAATGATGGTGCAAATCCAAATGGCCACAACCCACTGACCTCTCACGTGAACGAAAACAAATCTCTATGTGAAAGTTCAGAGGACGACAAATCTCCCGCGGCGACCCCGGATCACAGCTCCACGAGCCCAGCCATCCTTATGCCCTCCAGCTCAGGCCTGCCACCCCTGCACAGCTTCGCGCCTCCGCCCGGCCCCAGCGCCTCCATCATCCCCGTCAGCGGCTCAGACGCTCAGAGCCACCACCACTTCTCCATGCACGACGGCCTTCTCAACATCATGACGGCCAGCCTGGTGGAACTTGGGTCATAAGAAATAAAACTCTTCATCTTTGACTTTCCCCCCAGTTACTAGCTTCGTTATCATTGGCTACCAAACATTTTATTTGTCAAGCTTAGAGGACATTCGACAAAAAAATTCCAAGAACTACCATATGACGGGCCTACGTGAAAACTGTTTCCATAAAAATTCTGTAACAATTCAATGTAATCAAGGGATAGTTTTTGATATGTCTAGCTATAAAATGATAAACTAATAAAATATATATTTAATAACGTCAAAATGTGTGGTCTCCTTGAACATTTACAGGTCACTGCATCTGTCATAGCTTCATCGAAAGCGGGTCGGACAGAATCTCTTCTGCTGAATTATTATTGAAATAAATGCCAGTACAAGTAGGTAAACATGGTAGCATGTAGAAAAAGAAAAAAAAATTACCAGGCCCTTAAATTATTTGGATTTCCTATCATAACGCATGGCGGTATGTTTGGATACATGAACCCTTTATTTTCTTTGTCATTTATATTAAAGGTATGAATGTCCATGTTCAATTTATAACTTTATTATCTGGTAAAGTGCGGTAGCCTATGCCAAAAACATAGCACTCCAAAAATCCTTTCGTCTTTATTTATAAAAATATAGGCTATTGATTTTTTGCACAAATTGTTACAATAATTTGCCATTCTTCATAATTTTATTTGCTCTTCATTAATTGTTCATCGGTAATTACATTCAGCGCGGCAGAAAAGTGCAATTATCATTGCAATTTGTATAATTTTGTAATATTTTTGGATAACATTTTGCAAGTTTCGTTTTTAACTTGTATTTTGGTTCTTAAAAAACGAAATTATGAACATATACTGCCCTCTATTGGTAACGGTATGTAATTATAAGCAGTGGCTTAAACCTACTCGGTTTAAAGCTGAAAGATCACTACTGAGATCATTTTAACTATTTCTAGAGATATTACTTATTTGATTTATTACCAAAAAACAGTACACAGAATCTCTTAGATTACAATTTGCATCTAGACGGATGTACTGTTATACAGTCAAAAATGTGGGTGTTATATTAGACAGCAACTTCTCTTTTGAAAATCATATTTCCCATGTTACAAAAACAGCATTCTTCCATCTTAGAAACATTGCCAAGCTATGGAACATGCTACCTGTTTCTGATGCAGAAAAGCTAGTTCATGCATTCATGACCTCTAGACTGAACTACTGTAATGCACTGCTAGCTGGTTGTCCTGCATCTTCAATAAACAAGTTACAGGTAGTCCTAAATGCAGCGGCTAGAGTCCTTACCAGGTCAAGAAAATATTATCATATTACCCCAATTTTACAATCTCTGCACTGGCTGCCTATTTAGTTCCGTTTCAGTTACAAAATATGACTACCTACTTTTAAGGCCCTTAATGGTTTAGCTCCTGCGTACCTAAAGTCTTCTACCACGCTACAATCCATCACGCTCCCTAAGGTCGCAAAACTCTGGAATCTTGGGAGTACCTAAGATAGCAAAGTCCACTAAAGGAGGTAGAGCTTTTTCACATTTGGCTCCCAAACTCTGGAATAGACTTCTTGATAACGTTCAGGGTTCAGACACACTCTCTCTGTTTAAATCTAGATTAAAGACACATCTCTTCAGCCAAACACTCACATAATGTATCTCATATCCTACTTCAAGTGATCAAATGCACATTATCATTATTTTGCTTGGGTTGAACACATCTTTTGCTTGGTTAGAACAGCAGCTGCGCTAATTTCTCTCTATTACCTTCTCCGTTTTTGCCGTAACTAGGAATTACACAAGCTTCAGTCTGAATCCAGCCCTTCCAAAGACCTGAGATGACCGAACACCTGAGAAGAGATGATGCCAACCCTCAGACAACATACAAAACTACCAAATTTTGCTACAAGTTTGATCGCAAAACACATAATCATTGCTGTTAATAGTGTTCACCGTCTGTTTGATTACATGACATTAAATAACTGCTTGATTTTTACAGTACATTTCTGCCATAAGGACATCAACTTGACATAGTTGCCACTAATAAGCTACTGCTAAATATAATGAAGAAACTTTAAAATGGAAAATTTCATTTTCTGTAAAGCTGCTTTGCAACTATTTGTATCGTGAAAAACACTATACAAATAAACTTGAATTGAATATTTCCGTGTGTTATTACACAAAGGAACACAATTCCCCAAACCATCATGTAAAATCACTGAAACTTTTGCCAGTTGAGTCCAAATGTTTATCTCCTCAGCATGTAAATTGATAAATGAATAATTTCTGATTGTAATAAAATAAATTAGTATGAATTTAGTAAAGGTGTGATTTTAGAAATATTAATGTTCAATTACAATTCTGAAAGTGGTGAAAGAATAGTCATTTATTGGGTGGCATGAGATGTGGATTACTGCAGGCCTAAGCACTGTGTAATTATAGCATTATTAACATGCAACATGTGGCTGGTATGCTACAGGCCTGTTGGAGAAGATTTGAAATGGAAGAGGAAGAAGAGGATTCACATTATTCACATATTTTTCTTGTGAAAGCAAGAATTTCTCATCTTTCTACTGGAATTTGTTCCTATTATTGTCATCAAAGTGCCTTCACTCTTAAAAATAAAAGTGCTTCAAAAGGTTCTTCACAGCGATGCCATAGAAGAACCATTTTTGGTTCAACAAAGAACCATTCAGTCAAAGGTTCTTTAAAGAACCATCTCTTTCTTACCTTTTTGTAATCTGAAGAACCTTTTTTCACCACAAAGAACCTTTTGTGAAACAGAAAGGTTCTTCAGATGTTAAAGGTTCTTTATGGAACCATTTAGACAAAAAGGTTCTTCTATGGCATCGTGAAGCACCTTTATTTTTAAGAGTGTAGGCCTAAATTTATGGAGGCAGAGACGAAATGCTAACAAATCAGTTAGGATAAAATACTTAAATACATATTTTTTATGTTAATAATTTTAAATGAAACAATTTCTTTAATCAAATATTTGAAAAACAAATGAGAGTAAAACATGAGATAATTTTCTTACAAGGCCCACATCTTCCATTACAATACATTAAATTAAATTAATTTCTTTTAAAGGCTGCTCGACTTCACAACTTCACTAATTTCAACCCACTAAAACTGGAAATGCATGTTTAATTGCAGTCTTTTAGGGTTTAAGTGGTGCCAAAGTTACAAACTGGCATTCATTGTAATTTTAAACAAAGATGTTGTTTGTTACAACATAACAATGTGTGTATATATATATATACACACATATACATACACACTGAACAAAATTATAAATGCAACACTTT